CCCCCACATTGTTTTGTGTTTGCATATTTACTTTTGTGTTTTCCACAAGAAAGCGCCATGTCACCCTTAAGTTCCCAATTTTTCACACAAGAACAATGACTAAGAAGGTTCCTAATTATTGAACTTGGTGTTTCTAAAATTTAAAAAAAATGGTGCAAGTTCTCACAAATAAAAGATATACTTGAAATATTGCTGTTGTCGATGTATATGTTGTATTAGTTTGTATGTTTGGGTCGATAAAACCAAACGGTAAGCTAATTCTGGTTGTGTTTTCACAGGTACCAAGAGAGACAGCAAGCAGGACAACCGTCTGTACATCAACCTGCCCCCCCACCGGCAGCAGGAGGTGGAGCGCCTCCTGCAGGAGGGCAGCGGTCGGGGTTGGAGGCACCTGGGGGCAGCGTTGGGCTACGAGCCCGAACAGCTGGACCTGTTTGGGCGAGGAGAGGCTCCAGCTCACACACTGCTCTCCAACTGGGCCCAGAAAGAAGGCTCCACCCTGGGACTGCTGTGCTCGGCGCTGGCTCGTATCGAGAGGCCCGACGTGCTCACGGCCCTCAACTCCCCCACGCAGGGTGTTTCTGTGGTCTGACCACCCTCCACGAGTGACACTCACAGACTCGAGTGAGGAACTTTGAACATGACAAGAGAGGCACTCTGATAGCAACACCTCTGTCACCGCTGGAAGCTGCCACTGATGTTTGTTTTTTTTATATATATATCGCTTTTTTGACACATAATTCAGACAATGAAATAATCTTCTAAGACTTTACCAGAGTTTTTGTTGCCATTTGGTTTTACATGGTGCATGAAAGAATCTCTTGCAAATGTGTGCGCTGCAGATCAAACCACCAGTTACTATTGGAGATAACAGAAAGAATACAGTGTGGTGCAGATCTCAGCAGTGCCGCCATTGAGGGAACAAATCAGACATACGGGAATGAAATGGAATGAAATCCAGCAATCAGCCTCAACATTAAAACCAAATCTGACTAAGATGCAGTGTGCTGCTGGGAAACCTTGAATACCGACATTCATGCTCGTGTTACTTTGACGTGACGCCTAAACATTGTAGAAGAAC